GTGTTAAGGGTGGGCCTGTGGGCCCCTGCCCTGCCCCGTCCCCCCTAGGTGGCCCGGGGACTGCCCTCCTGGCCCTCTGGACACGAACTCGAGTCACCCTGGCCACTTCATGGGGGCCACCTCTCCAGCGCAGACCGGAGAAGGAGGAGGGAAACAGGGAGAGACTGGGTAAGGGTAGGTGGGCAGATGATGGCTCCAAGGTCTCCAAGATGGGACACCCACCTGAGCAGGGTAGTGGGCTTGGGCCTACCCTGGGCCTGCCAATTTGTGGCAGACTCCGAGGCCTGAAAGGCTCTTCGGTGGTCCCAGCGACCCTTCTACCTACCTGCGCTCCTGATGTATGGCCTGATTCCTCACAGAAGCCTTGGTGACTGTTTCTATCAGGAGCCCCTCCCACCCCCTGCAGCCCTAAAGCAAAATTCCCAAATGCTAAAACCAGTAGGATACAGGCCGAGACCCTGCAAACTTGGGGGTGACCCTTGGCTTCTGTGATTCACACCTGGCCCTATCAGCCCCTGACCAGTAGGTGAAGTAACCATCTAGAACAAGAGTCCGATTTGGAGCCTAGTTCAGGTCCCGTCCCTGAAGTCCCCTTGCACATCAAGAGAATGTATCTAGGAGTGACCCAGGCTCCATGGGGGTCCCTCCATGTCCATAGTCCCTAATGCACAAACGTGTGGCCGGCAGGGCAGGGCAAGGCCTGCAGGCCCTGACCAAGTGGGCCTGGCCTTGCAGGCTAGAGGCAGCCGAGGCGGCGGGAGGAGCAAGCCCCGAGACTCCCCCGGAGCACAGTTTGGGGCCCGAGCATGCGCAGCAGCAGGACCCGCAGCAAGAGCAGGACGTCGAGCATGCACAGTGCAGCTACCGTGACCTGTGGAGCCTTCGTGCTTCCCTCGAGCTCCACGCGGCCACTGCATCGGACCACAGCAGCAGCGGGAACGACCGCGACTCCGTACGCAGCGGCGACAGCTCAGGCTCAGGCTCCGGGGGCGGCGGCGTAGCACCCGCCTTCCCACCCCCACCGGAGTCTCCTCCTGCTCTGCGGCCTAAGGACGGTGAAGCCCGCCGCCTGCTGCAGATGGACAGTGGGTATGCGAGCATCGAGGGCCGCGGCGCGGGAGACGAAGCCTCCGAATTTCCCGCTCCAGCCCGCAGCCCTCCACGCAGCCCGCGAGCCTGGCCACGCAGGCCACGCCGTGACTACAGCATAGACGAGAAGACGGACGCGCTTTTCCACGAGTTTCTGCGCCACGACCCGCATTTCGATGATGCACCACGCCATCGCGCACGAGCGCACCCTCACGCCCATGCGCGTAAACAGTGGCAGCAAAGAGGCCGGCAGCACAGCGACCCCGGCGGCGCACGCGTGGCCACGCCCCCCGGGGTGGTGCGTCCCGCTCGTGCGCCCTTGCGGCGTGGCGACAGCGTCGATTGTCCTCCCGAAGGCCGTGCACTGCCAACCACGGGGGACGACACGTCCATCCCGGTCATCGAGGAGGAGCCCGGCAGCGGAAGCGGTAGTTGCCCAGGCTCTGGGCTGTGTGTCGAGCCCGCCGGGGCGCTGCTGGACAAGCTGGCAGCCAGCCTCGACGAGAGACTCTTCGCGCCCCGTCTCCCTGAGCCTGTTGCCTCATCCCCGGTGCTGATCGTCGCTGCTGCTGCCCCCACGTCCCCTGACCACAGCCCGGCCTAAAGCTCTGTGAACTCGACCCGCCTCTCGGCAGCTTCTCTGGTGGTATGTGGGGCCGCTGCGGGGACGGCGGCGACAGCGGGGAACCCAGGGTTGCCGTGCATGTGCACACAGCCCAGTCCCAACTGCGCACGTGGCAGTGTTACCTCGGGCACTTCGCGGGTCGCAGCGGCCTCCCAGGGCGCGAGGCCCCAGGACCCTGACTCAGCTGCAGGGAGGATGCAGAGTTCCGACTCTCCAGTCCTTACTTGATGGACCATGGCACCCAGCCTCGCCGCGGAGGCGGGTGAAACAGGTTGTTCTGAAAAGCATGTGTAGCCTCCCTCCAGGATCAGCAAACCACCATTCGTGAGCTCGTGCTGGCGGTGCCATTGCCTGCCAACCGCATGTGTGAACCTTCTGGAGGGGAAGGGACAGTAGGGCACTGAGGATCAGAGAGAAGCTCGCCGCGCCAAACCCCGAATCTGTTTTACCTCATCGTGGTGTGCTCAGGCAGCAGCCGTACAGCACCGTACCCTCCCTCTCCGAGCAATAATCAGCCTCCTGCTCTCAGCATGTGCACAGGACCCCCTCCCCCAACTCCTCCCCAAGCCTTGGGCTTTGAACACGCGGACAGAAAGGCCCAGGCAGCAGCTTCAAGTTTCCCAAGCTTTATTTATTGCCAAAATATAGGGCGGCCTCGCTGTGAGTGCCCACCCACTCCCTGCCCTCTGTGGGTAGTTGTGTTGTCTGGTTGATCATAAATGTCTCTGCATATTCGCTTGCTCTGGGTTTTCTCTGCAGGCCTGCAGTGCGCCTCGCCTGCTCCACATTCCCAAACACCCTCACAGCCACAGCTCAAATCCACCTGTTTTGAGAAAAAAAAAAAAAAAAAAAAAAAAAAAAGAACCAACCCAAAGACAGCGAGGCTCACGGGGCGGCATGCGGGCGAGGCCGGCCAGTGGTCTCGACATAAAGTGCTTCTGGGGTGGTGGGTCCACCCTCGGCTCCAATGTCCGAGTGTTCGGAAGGGTGGGCCCAAGAACCGCAGCCTTGCTGGGGCACCTGCCCAGAGATCCTGGTGACACACTGCAGAAAGAAGGGGGTCACTCAGCACCTGGACCCTGCAGGTGCAGGCCACCCCCGAGGGGGAGCAGACCCCTTCGCACAACCATGACTGGTAAAGGCTGTGGCCTCAGTCACCAGAGCTCATCCCATGTGGCCAGCGGAGCCTCGTCCCCAGGGAAGGAACATGGCAGACACCCATTGAATACCAAGCAGGGCTTTCTCCACTCTGGCCCTGTGCCCACCTGCAGGCTGCAGTCACTGCTGCTTGCAGGCTGAGAGTCGGCGGATCTTGTTGCTGGAGCATGCCTTGCGAACAGGGTTGACGGTGCTGGATCGGCCTTCGGCCTTCACCTTGCTGCTGAGCTGGGGCTCTGTGCCATTCACACACACAGCTTTGGGCAGGCTGCGGCTCTGTCCATTCTGACCCACTTCTTCCAGGACCTGTCCTGCGGGAAGATGGCAGGCATGGCTTGAGCCAAGCAAGGGACAGGCAACCCAAAGCCCCAGGGCCCAGCCAGCCCCAACTGTGCCAGAGGCTGGTCAGGCTAGGCCTTCTAGCCTCCAGCACAGTCCCTCAGTGGCTCTAAAGGCCTGTCCAGCCAGGCCCAGCCTTTCCAGTGGTCTGCCCTAGCCCCCCTGCAGCACACCCATGCTCACCTGCCTGTCTAGCACGGGCAGCCCAAGCACCAGCTCACAGAGCTCTCTCTCCAAGTGAGCCAGGCTCTAGACCCACAACAGGCCCATGGAGATGAAGCACTCGGCCTGGGGGCTACTAGCTGTGCTGAGGATGGGGAGACCGTCCAGCTGGGGGCTATAAGCCTAGCTTGCTCTGCTGGCCTGCCTTCATGGTGGGGACAGGTCGCCTCTCCCGAAGCTCCTCAGGAAGTAGGCAGTCTCTAGCATGTGACTACATAGTGACCAGATGCTTGAGATGTGGCTATGGGAACCCAGTAGAGGTCTCCTGCCTGTGGCCTTGGATCCAGAGTCCCTCTCCCAAAACCTCTGATTTGGCCCACACTGGTAGCACCCACCATGCCCCTCACTCTGGGCTGGCTGGACCCTGGGGCATGAGGTTAGGTGGACCCTGTAGCAGGAAGTCCCTCCCCAGTTCCCCACAGGGTGGGTAGAAGATGCCTTTGTCCTCTTGTTGCAGAGCACAATCCTCATGCCAGGTGCAGAGGCTGCCACTATACAGCACTATCCCGGGTGACACATGGGCCCCACAGCCACCCAGACACAAGGCAATGTCCCCAGACCCCTCCCTGTGGCCTCGCCTTCCTTCAAACCACTGCTGCCCCGAGGGTCCCCAAGGTGCAGTGAGTGCAATGTCACAGGTGCACCTCTCCCCGACCGAGGGGCCCACATGGAGGCCCTGCCAGCTGCCGGTCCTCATGAGAGTCTAGCCTGTTGCACATTCCAGCCAATGGCTCCAGGTGCCAGAACCCTCACTGTCTGAGCAAAAGACACTATTAGGAGGACTAAACCTTGAGGACTGGCCAGGGCCCATACTGGATATTAGGGTCCTAGCTGGCACCCAGCAGACACTGCTTCCAGAGTCCTCAATTACTACAGGGAAACCAGGGGCCTCACCCTCCCACACACAACTCTTTGAAGGGCCAGGAGCTGCCTACCAGCAGGGCTTGCCTGAGGGGCACAAGGACAAGGGCCCTGAGAGCCCTAACCAGTGGTAACCTTGGCACTGAAGGCCTGCTTCAGGCCTTGGACCCGGGTGTGTTGTTTGATACCCTGGTGGGAACCCTGCCGGGGTAGGACAGGGAAGGGCAGTCGCAGCAAGCATCCACCTACAGACACAGTGGACAAAGCTTTATGGAGGGCATGGGTGGGGCAGCAGCCAGGGAGCTACACTAAGGCCTCGAACCCCTCCTCGGGCTCCTCTCCAGGAAGGCCTGCGCCCTGGCTCCTCCACATGCATGGGTCGCATGCATCCTCGCTAAGCCCTGCCTCGGCCGCCTCCTCCTCGACACCTGGGGAAGAAGGCGATATAAGGTCAGGCATGGCCAGGACTGAGGGCCACTGGACCCTCCCTCATGTGGCTGTCTCAGGGCACCTGCCCACTGCCCTCCAGGGTCCCCTCCTCCTGCTATACGCAGCCAGGGAGGCCATGAGAAGCTGTAGATGGGGCCCAGGGAGCCCTTCAGCTAGCTCAGAGTAGATTGCCACAGCCAACAGGATGGCTTTGGAAGTTTGGTGGCTCAAGTCAGACTGGAGCCTTGGGGAAAGGACCAGCCCCAGAGAGCACAAAAGCACTAGCTCCAGGGTGACCCAAGACAAGCCAGCTCACCAGGCACCGTGAAGTCCTGGGTGTAGATGATGCCATCCTCAATGTCAAACAAGTCCTCATCCTCATCCTCATCAGCATGGCCATGCAGGTCCTCCAGGTAGGGCACCACTGTCATACTGCGCCAGCGATCCTTAGTGTCCGGGCTTGGTGGGATGGGCACAAGTGCTTCAGCCAGGGGATGTTTCTTCCTGAACCAGCTGTAAACGGCCAGGTGCAGTAGAGCCATCAGGTGCTGGGTGCCCAGTGACCTCAGCTGGCCACTCAGGCTATAGGCCTGAGGTCTCAGCAAAAGGGTCCAGGGTCCTGTCATGTGCACTCATACTAACACCCCCAGAAGCCACTGACCACAGCTGGCAACCACAGCTCCTTGGCCCAAGGTGAGCAATCAGGCCATGCACCTGTGGTTCCACCTATCCCGAATAGAAACAGGCTGGAAGCCTTCCCTGGGGAACACCCTGATGACCCTGCCCAGCACAGAGGCAGTTAATAGGCACAGGAACAACTGGTGGGGCCAGAGACCACAGGCCTCCCTGGACCCAGGGCTCCTACCAGGTGAGTACTGAGTAAAGGATAGGGCAGAGGCTCCACTGCCTCCAAAAGGCCCCAACCTCATGTGGGGGAAGATACAGTGCCTCACATTTCCCTCTGGCCTCCCTGGCTGCACACCCAGGCTCCCCTAGGTCAATGGCCAGCTGGGGTCCAGAGTGGCACCTCCCTTGAGGTGTGGCCAGGCCTTCTGTGCTCTTTCCATCTACTCCTGCCACACCCTCCCACCATGGAAGAACTGCCTTCAGCTCTGGGCCCTGAAGCTCCAGCTGCTCAGCCACACAGCTGCCTGCACCCCTCAACAGGACAGTAGAGGGAGGTGAGCCTGGGACAGGGAGGTGCTGGAAGGCTCTTAGCCATGCCTGTACTGGGCACCAGGAGGGAGGAAGAGCTAGCACCCTTATAGCCCAAGTTCACACAGCACCTCTCCAGGCCAGCACCCGACATGCACACACATCCTCACTCCTGTGCATCTGTATCATGCTCTTGGGTGCACTGCAAGGGCAGCGCTCACCTGTGCTGCCTGATCTGTCGGATGGAGAACCTCTTGGCTGGCTCGTACTCCAACATCCCTGTGTAACACAAGAGTCAGTGCAGCAGGTGCCGGCCTTCTCCATGCCACAGCCCCGCCCCACCATCCATCCAGCTGGCCTTCCTAGGCCCCAGTGAGACAGCAGCAGGCAGCCTGGGCATAGCATTGAGACCCCCTGGATGGGGCCATCAAAGCTGAAGCCAGTGCCACCTGGTGCAGAGCCCAGGACACACAAGATAACCCTGCATTATCTGCACAGGCACCAAGGAAACTGCATCCCAGGGACCTCCTCTGCCAGTTGACCGAAGCTGTTCTATTAGTCAAGTCAGGCCACTGGCCCTGCCCCACTGCCACCTCTGCAGGAGAGTCCCACTGACTCAGAACCTCTCCACAGACCAGGGGCTCTGTCCCCAGCTGCCCTGGCATGCAAGGTGACCTACAAGTCACCAGGAAGATGCCCACCTCGGAGCAGGTCAGAAAGTGGTGGGCCGCAGTCACAAGGGATGGTGAAGTCCCCTCTCCCGATGTTCTCAAACAGCTTGTAGATATTGTCTCCCTCGAATGGATACAGGCCTGTGGTGATGTTGTAGCTTCACAGAGGAGGACAGTGTCAGTGCTGGCCACAGCTGAGGCCAGAGGCCAGGTAATGTTAACTGGCAGATGTGCAGCCATCTACCAGCACCCTACATGCAGCAATGCCCTGTGAGGAGGTATGTGGAGCAGAACTACACCCACAGACCTGCAATGTCCAAACTGCTGGCCCAAGAACACTAGAGAAAACCCACAGTTCCCCATCTACTGCAGGGTCCAGGACACTTACAGTGTGACCCCAGCTGACCAGATGTCCACCTTGAAACCTGAGAAGGTGTCGAGTCCGTTGGCGATCTCGGGTGGCTGGAAGGCCGGGGAGCCCTGGCTCGTCCGGCAGGTGTCATCCACAGCGAAAGGGTGCAGGGCCTGCAGGGCAGTGAGAGTCAGGAGTGCTCAGGAGAAGTGGCCCAGGAGCCCTGCACACGGTGCCTACCTCGGCAACACCCAGGTCGGAGATCTTGAGCGTGCCGTTGGTGGTGAGCAGCAGGTTGCCCGGCTTGATGTCCTTGTGCACAATGCCCTGGCTGTGTAGGTACTCCAGGCCGTCAATCAGCTGGCGGAAGTACCTGAATGGGTGGGACCAGCTCAGGCCCCACAGGGTCTCAGCCAGCCCATACCATGGTGCCTACACAAGCCTGCTATGCAATTTGGGAGTCACAAGGCCTGGCCCACAAGGGGACAGGCATTTGGGGTTCAGGTAAACAGACATGACAATTAGAAGGCCAGAGCCCATTGGGATCACTAGGGCAGCCACAGTCACGGGTGCCTAGGCCCAGGGCGCCAAGTCTCCCCTCTGGCTTGACCTCTTCCCCTTCCCTTGGTTCTGTGTCAACCAG